TGAACGTGCCGGGCGGCGCGGTCCCGTGGGTTAGATGCGCGTTCATAATGCAGAGGGAAATAACTCTCAGAATAACGTTATTAGCACATTATTACAACTTGAGGAACGAATGTTTTTAATAAGGGCTATACAAGTGTTCATACTGGGTAGTTTATTTAGTTTAAAAAAAATTATCCAACGAGTTACAGACCACTCTTTCCCCATGTAAGTCAATGGGAAAAAGTGTTTCCGGGCCTGGCAACCAAACGGAAGTGTAGTACCGCCGTTTGGCCAGCACGAATATTTTCATCTGAGTCCGGCGCACTTCCTGGGGGCTTGGGAAGTAGCCATGGTTAGCTATCAAGCTAAAGTAGCTACCGTTAGCAAAACCGAAAGAAGTGTAAGCAACTGTGGAGTTACAGTCGCTAAGAGAAGGAGAGTTGTGAGTGCTAAGCTGTAGTAACGTGTGATTACAACGTCAGGTAGCTGCCGTGATCAAGAATTGTAAAAACGATGGATTTAATTTAAGATAATATAAGCTATCAGTAGTGAAGTTACGTATTACGCCGAGGCTTCGGAGCGTGTGTCGAGTAATCCCCGAAGCTTTTTGTGAAGCTTGTATCGAGGCTTGTATCGTTTTGGGCCAGTGACGTCATCGATGACAAACGAAGCCTCGCTGCCTGTCGATACCACGTGACTGCTTCAGGAAGCGATTCAGATCGGTTGAACCATGGTTGCGTTCCAATAGTCCATTTAGCTTAGGAACCTTCCTAACGGAGTGAAATGACCCGGAAGTCCCTCAGTGGCAGCCATGATAAGTGCCGTTCCAATTCTCTAAAGGAAAGGAAAGGAGGTTTCAAACTTCCTTTATAACCTCCTTTAGCTTAGGAACCACTGGACCTCCCTCACCGGAAGGAGAGGAGAAAATGCTGCCCCACAATGCATTGCAGCCGCAGCATTTGCCGTTGTCAGTACCAGATATGTTCGGCCTACCAAATATGTTCGGGTGTATTTCCGTCGCATCCGTCATCCGTCATATCCGTCATATACTCACCTCCCTCTGCTCCCAGCGCTATGCTGCCACACACCGGCCGTCTGCGGAACTGCAGCCGGAGGAACTCGGTACAGCTTGTTATGTGTGAACGATCTAGATCCCTCCGCTTCCCCATAATTACCGCGACCATTTTAACTTTCATGACAGAAATGGAGAGCTTTTATGCTGAGATAAAGCAGTACGTGCTCAATGGTGGTTACCACAATCTCACCATCGCCGCTGAAAAGCATGATAAAAGGAAGGCGTTCATTCGGAGGGCATCCAAACAATACCTGATCAAAGGTAAGTAACAGAATAAGACCATGGTTAAGTCACGAACATACGTTTTTATTATGAGGTATAAACCCCCTGTACATGTGACATCATCACATCCCTTTACTTATAGGGATCAATAAAGTATATATCTATCTATCTATTTATCTAATGGTGTTTTTTGGTGCAAAAGTGATCATACCTCTAATGGTTTATCATATTGCAATTCCAACATTTTTCAGTAAATCGCAAGGACTCCACAGCTTGTTTCTCCTTTTTCTTTTTATACACACTTTACATTACTGTAGTTGTTACGTCTAAACCACATTTGCCACTGGATTTCTTGAACAGCTTTTAGTCATAATGTCATCTCTACACATGTCTAAATGATTGTTTTGTTGTTCCTGTTGTGCCAGCTGGAGATTTGTACTACACATACAAGGACAATGAGAGGATGGTTGTGTGCACCAAGGACCAAATTATCAATGTCCTGAAGGAGTGCCATGATAACCTGGGTTCCGGAGGTCATGCAGGGAGAAGGCGCACCACCGAGAAGGTTTTGGCAACGTACCACTGGTCCACTATGCGGGAGGACGTGAAGAAATGGGTGGGAGTTTTTGACTGACTGACTGATTATTGATCTACAGAAATGTGTTGTATGTGTACATTGAAACAGAGTGAGACATGTGTGGATCTCATTGGCCCACTTCCCTCCACTGCTAAGGGCAAAAGGTACTATCATGATGGGCTGAAGCATGTGTAACCTCCTTTAAAGGTTCTAAACGTGAAGAATCTGGTTTAAAAAGAAAGGAAATCATTTACAGTGATTCTGTATGTATTTACAACATTCTGCATTTTATATTGCAGATACATTCTAACAGCGACTGATCTGTTCACGAAGTGGGTGGTAGCAAAAACGCTCTACCACAAAACAGCTGTTGAGGTCTCAAAAAAGATTGTAAATATTCTTCTCGATTTCGGTCTTGTCGAGAAGATCATTACCGACCAAGGACGGGAATTTGTCAATGAGGTACAATAATCTATCTAATACAGTGTATGTGTTATGTGTAACAATGTAATACGATTTTTCAGGTAATTTGGTAATTGGTGTACACTAAACCATCTGCAGGTCAACCGTGGTGTTTTTGATGCACTGGGTGTAAAACACTGCATCACTTCAGCGTACCATCCCCAGTGCAATGGCCAAGATGAGCGTACAAACCAAAACATAAAAAAAAGCACTTGCAAAGTACTGTGGAGAGGACCAGAATGACTGGGATTTACATCTGAGGGGCATTGTGGCGAGCATTAACACCTCAAAGCAGGTACAATGTTGTAACAAATGCAGATGGAAACAATACTCAACAGAGATACTAAAAGGAATTTTTATGCTTTCAGAGGTCAACCAAGTGCACGCCCTATTTTGCCCAGTTTGGGAGGCACCCTCGCGTCCCGGGTGTTATAAATGCTACAGTCAATGACAGGGATGATACCTCTGTTTTGGTGCCTGCTGATGAGGCAGAACAGCAGCTTGAGGCAAAGGCTGCAACCATTGCAGATTTGCACTCGAAGGTGAGAATAAAATGGCAATATTTAAAACATAATAACTCCTAAAAAATGCAAGCGTATGTTAAGGACTGTAAATGATAACTGTTACATATCTTTCTCAGATTTACCAGAACATCCAAATAGCACAACAGAGACAGAAAATCTCTTTTGAAAAACGCAAGGGAAAGAATGTGAAATCTTTCCTGATTAACGTTGGAGATGAGGTCCTAAGAGCGAATAAGAGGAAGGAGGGCCGAAAAGGTGGAAAACTGGAGTGCAACTGGTTTGGCCCTTATGTGGTTTCCTCAATCACCAACAAGGGTGTGGCAACCCTGTTGAGCTCAACAGGAGCTCAGCTGAGACAGAGTGTGAATGTGTCTCAGCTGAAGCCCTTTATCAGGCCTATGTTGAGAGGTATTTTGATTATCAATACAAGGACACATTTTAGGTATACTTCATGTGTGGTACTTCAATAATACTGTTTATTTTGTGTCTATCTAATAACAGCTGAACCGAAGTTGGATTCGGAGGGGTCAGTTGCTGACCACCAGTATGCCCTCTCTGGTGCGAAATACGCAAAGGATCTACATCCGATTCAAGACAAGCTGGTAGATATATGTTTACTTCATGCACAGTGATGGAGGTGCATTGTTTTGATTTTAATTTTTCTATGTTTTCTATTGGCTTGAAGTATGTTTTGCAATCTGTTATTTGCAGCTCAGCTATGTGCTAGACCACAATAGGCCTGGAGCAGAGGTCATTGTGAAGGAGGGTGATGTGTGCCTGACCAGAGAGGACTTTTGGAGCCTGGGTCTTCCTCAGTGCATGGAGTCAAATGTAGGTATACTTGAGCTTTCCTCCCAACTTCATCTTGTCTCAAATAAATGGCACAGGTAACTTACTGTTGTTACTGTTTCAGATTGGAAACACGTGCCTGAAGATGGTACAAGAAGCCACCCAAAGACATGTACGGTTTTCAACAGACATCATTGGCCTGCTTTTTTCTTTTGAATAACACATATTTTCTAAATAGCTGTTTAGTGGTGAAACTCCAATCTCGTGAAGTGTGGTTGTCTCTTGTTGTTGAACATACTTCTATGAAGATTTCATTTTTTTTGAAAAACTATCAATATAGGGCAAAGATATATACATCGTGGATATGTATGTGGTTCCTACCTGGAAGTCCAAAACAGCTGACGTGTTGGCCAGTTTTCCAGTAAGTTCCTGTTGCTTGAGACCTATGTTTCTTGAAATTGATATACAGCAACTTAAAATCCCTTGTTTAAAATACTAGGCTGACCAATTGGCCACCAAGGACATGGTTTTCATCCCTGCCTGGAGTCGGCAGCAAGGAAAGGCAGATCACTATTTGCTTTGCGTGAGTCTGTTCCAAATGATCTCACCAGCATGTACAAAATGAACATAAGTTGTGCTGTGTGGTTTTCTTCTGGTGTTTGATTATGTCTAATTTCAGCTATTTTGTCAATGGTTGACAGGTGATCAAGCCAGCAAAGAGAGAGTTATATTTGCTCGACCCTCTTAAGCCAGATGGCTTTGGGGACAATTCCTACAAGGACATATTTAGGTTTTTGTAACATGATTACCCCCTCACCGTTCTGTGGCTTGTATGGGAGTTCTAAATAGTTTATAGTATTCTAATACTGCAGTAACCATCTTGTAGACCAGGGGTCTGAATCTGATCAAATTCATTTATAATATATCTCCATTTCCACAAAGTCTGGAGTGTCCTTAGTGGAACCAAAAGAAAAAGAGTCTGCAACAGGATGCTATGAATTATAATATTCATTTTGTTATAAGCCTTGTTCAAAGGTTGTTTTCAAGTTCAGCTTTGTTCAGCGGCTGGTAAACGTATTTTTGTTTGTTTTATTTTAGCCCCGTTCAGTGGCTTTCATAACTTTCCTCTTTTAAGGCATGCAATAGTTCAATGTAAGGAAATCCAAAAACATGAATTATATTGTGTATAGCGTTCCTTCACCAAATCAATTCCCATGTCTTATCATTTCTTTTGACAGTGACCTAGCGCACCGCATTGCTCCAGGTCAGTGGACAGTAAAGTTCGGCAGAGACGTCAAGGTACATTTCTCCACCATCTCATACACCTGCTTTCACATGTCTTTATTTTCCATTTGACCATGAACATCACTGTTATATTCCAAATTCTTACAGGGTTAGCCTCACCAAACCACGGGCAATGACTGTGGTGTCTTCATACTGATGGTAAATTCCTCCCTTGACACTTTTTTTTAAGGGGTTTTGTTAGTTTTGAAACTCATAACTTAACAGATCTTTATCCTTTCACAGTATGCACTCAACTTCAGCACAGATGCTCTACTTTGGTTTACCGAGGTCAGTATTTATCCTCTGAGTTAGTATTTCAGGGGGAAGAGGGGGCTAACATTGAGTAGACAAATGATGAGGTTCCATTCATTTTCAACTTTATTATTGTTACATTTTCTTTTAGCGGGACATAGCACAGATCCGGAAATGGTGGTGCATTATGCTCATGGAACGGTACCAGATTGAAGGGTAAATCATACATTTTAAATGTTACTTTATAGACAACAGTTTCTTTGACACTGATTTACATTTTCATCCTGATATTATGTGATTTTTATAGCCACGGACAGATCCAGATTATTTAACACATGCATACATATTGATAATTGTATACACATGTAATTAAACAATCACATGACCCACACCTTATATTTTCCTTCAAAGGTCCAGTTTCAAAAGTCCGACATGTGCTTCATATTGGAGGTAATATCTTTTCAGTGAAGCAGTAACTGTTTTTTGTTTAAAAAACGACCTGTGATCACGGCAGAATTTCCAACTATTATGTCTCACTGCTTTTTTTAACTTTATTGATAGCTGTTTTTTACCTCAAGGAGAAGAATAACAAAACATAAGAAAAATGTGTGTGATATATTCAACATTAATATTAAAAATGTGTCTTTTTGCTACCTGAAGCCCAAAGAATCTTGGTATTTCGATTGTGCTGGCAACAGTCTAGTCAATGTGTTGTTAAATATGTTTGATCTAGTCTGACCAATACTTCACAGCTGCCAAACTGTCTTCTCTCGGACCTTCTGATGGAAGTGGTTCTCCAGGAAGGTGACAAAGCGTACTCATCACTCACTCTAGTGTGTACCACCTTCAGAGACACAATGTCCACTGTGTCTTTCAGAAGAGGGGCCCACTTTCGCTGGCTTGAGAGTAAGTGATTCAGTGAAGGTGCAGCAGTATACGACAGCTGTGGTGTCTATGCATATTTTTAATGGCTCTATTGAAATGCTTGTTTTACACAGGTGTTGCTACATGGAGTTTGTTCTCTGCTTCATACAAGCAGGATTTCAACGTCATGTACACCATGGACACCTGCCGTGGATGCTTGGAGCCTTACAAAAACTGCAAACCAGGTAGACTTCTTATTCTGGATAATAATGTTTATGTGTCATTACATATTTAGTGTGTTGTGGTCCTAGTGTGATTCAATTACAATATTTTCTTTTTCTATTCATAGGATATGTTGGGAAAGGTAAAAGAGGAGAATTGCAGGGCATCTACTCTGATGACCAACATCCAGGCTATTGCAGTCCCTTCTGCAACCAGATATCATAGGTAAAGATTAACTCACACAAACAAATGTCAGAATAGACTAAATTGTCACTGCAATTAATGAAGATCATCATTTGATATCTTACCTTCAAGTTTGGTTTTCCCGGACGCTGCCCGTCGTGGACTTCGGGTCGTGGACTTCGGGTCGTGGCTGAACCTGTCTCTGCAGTCCTGCCTTGGGTCATGCTGCTTCCCTGATGGCTTCCTCATATATTCTGAACAATCTGTGCTGTTTTCCTATCCACATGTAAAAGGAACTAGAAGGATTTCTTGATACTAAGGGCTGTAGAGAAAAGTTTGGAGCTTTTTCCATTAACGTTGAAGTTCAAATTCTCAATAAACACTTGAATGCTGTGCTGTCTTTCTATTTACTTGAATGTGTGAATTCATTCAGTTGGGTAGGTAAGCTTGGGATGGATATATGAAATATATACATACAAAAAATTAGAGACTCTTTCCAATGAAAGTAGCTAGCCGCAATAGCTCCAAGATTGCTATATCTAGTTTGTAGGTCGCCAAGTTGGCATCATTGACAGTTCGTCTCTTAAAGCCTCTAAAGCTCTGCAACAAAAAAGGATCATTATGAATGTAAATACTATACATGGTAATGCAGCAGGGCAGAGTGCGATGAGGCAGGCAGGCAGAACCAGATTTATTTCTAAATATTTGTCGATCAATATTAGGCTACACTAATATAAGGCTACTAGTATTATGATATTACTGCAATAATATTCCAGTGGTGGCTGCTTAAGGTTGTTTCTGGCTCGTTTGATCCAAACATTGTCCAAAGCTCAAAATGTATTGTAATAGATGTAAGAATTCTCAAAATGTACAATATGTTTTGATCCAACACAATATTCTGATTCAATCCATATATGTTAGGGGTTTTTTTTTCACCAAAATAAATAGACTGCCTTCTCTCCAGCTCACCGCACACAAAGGGGGGGGGGGGGGGGGGGGGGCATCTGTATTAACGGGTCAGTCTATAAGCACTCTAATAGCACCATAAATTACATTTAAATAACCACAAAAAGACAATTATTGTTTCCGATATTGATTTAACGAGATGCTGTTATAACATGGAAACGGCTTAATTTAAAAAAAATAAGCTTCAAAAATGTTTTATGAAGCACACTGGGTACAGCCCTGTAATACATGTGTTCCGTGTGTATATAGTCTTACGCAAGAAACACATAGCATGAACAGACTGCAACAAAACCAGTCTTACAAAACAGACTTCTGCTAAACTGGTGCAGAAGCAAAGCATCTACCTTAGATGAAGTTCACACAGAACTGTGGAAAAGGGAGAACATCTGTACTTGCTTTCAACGACATGATCAGGCTTATATATTATAAAAGTGTTGGCTAAAGTAACGCAGAATATATATATTTTTTAATTGTAAATAATTAAGTACACACACATAACAAGCTGTACCGAGTTCCTCCGGCTGCAGTTCCGCAGACGGCCGATGTGTGGCAGCATAGCGCTGGGAGCAGAGGGAGGTGAGTATATGACGGATATGACGGATGACGGATGCGACGGAAATACACCCGAACATATTTGGTAGGCCGAACATATCTGGTACTGACACCGTCACTCAACAGTCAACATCCGATTATGACGGCGAAATGATATCATGAAAGTTACGGTGCTTATTAAGCGTTTTAAAACGTATGTGTATTATAATCAAAGAGAGAAATATGAACGTTAGTTTTTACTGAAATGATCAAATAAAGTCAACATTTCACTGAGCTGTGTGTAGATGTTTGAATGGTGATATACACAGTGATGGATGTTAAGGACTAACGTTTATAATAAATACATCTGTATTGATTTAAGATCTTTTCATCAATCATACGTATTGGGATCATTTGTATTAATGAGGACCGGAGGGAGAGGGGGACGAGCAGAAGTTTCACTTTCCTTTTTATTTCAATTCCAACTTTGGTTCTGAAGAATCTGTTTCTCTGTTGTCCCTGTTCATAAAGCATAAAGCAACAGCATCAGAGCACAGAGTCTCTAGATGAGTTCACAGGAGTCCCTCGTTCTTATTGAACATCCATGTTGTAGTCCGCTGTATAGAGAACTGTAGTCTCCATAGTTTCCCCACAGCAGCAGACGCTCATTCAGGACGTCCGCTGGCGCATCAGAAACACGTCGGATAGTGAAAGTGCAGTCGATTCTCTAAAGTACCGCAGTCTCTTCTCCTAAGTCCTTTTGAATTCTCCTATCCACTATCCCTTAACCCAGGGGTACTCAAATACAAATCTTAAAGGTCCAAAATAAATGTTTCAATAAGACAAAGGTCCGTTTATTACGGTCATTCAAACTTTTAAACAATTGCAACAAGATTCTTAACACGAGGTTGCAAAAACAAAAAGTCTCTGGATGCAGCAGTTTTCATTGTTATTGTGTCTGTGCTTGATCCCTCAGAGTCGCAGTGTAAGAGCTGCACAGTTATGAATAAAGGCAGCTGCACCCTCTTTCATTCAGCATTCCCATTATTGCTTTATAAATGTATTCCCCCTTGTGTGTCCACTGAGGTTCGTCAGGCCCAACACATCTTCAACAAACTCCCCCTTTGCCTCATCATAAAAACTCACAAACACCAGCAACTGAGCATTGTCAGTGGTGTCAGTGGACTCACCCACAGCTAAGGAAATGCACTGTGCATTTTTTATTCCATCACAAAGCTGATGAATCAAATCACCAGCCAATATTTATGTTCTTCTGGTTGCTGTGGAATCTGAGAGGGGATTTGCTTGATTTGACCTGTTATTTCCTCTTTTTGTTTGCCTTCATCATGGTCTCCATCACTTCAGTCATGCATTCTTTTATACTTCAGTTATTATCCAGTGGAAAGCCCTTACCTACTGGCCTAGTTCAATCAAAGTGGTTACTTTTTTTTGGCTGGGCAGTGTAGTTTTACACACCGTCTGATTTGACTTTCTCAGGACTTAAAACAGTTTTTTGGGGGCAGACCCCCTCAAAGAAAACAATATATTTACACACGTAAGGTCATCATCTTAATAGTTGTGTATGCTCATCCGTGAGCAGAGCATCAAGTTGACATGTCTATTACGGCTGAATGCGGCGATTACCATTTTGTTCAGCAAAACGCCTCACAAACGTATTAAGATCAACAGCTTTAGTGCGTTTTGATTCAATGCTGAGTACAGCCAAACTGACAGTCTCTTCTCTGTCAGACCGCAAATACCTCATTCCTTCAGTGCTTGGGTCCGAATGCTTCTCGTTTTGCGCCGTCCAGTTCAAAATTAAATCGCCGCCAATCGTATATCAACGCTCGCGCCAGGACCGGAGGAGGGGTTACACATGACGTGCATCTTGTGCTGCATTCACTTGCACTCAGACATTAGAGACTTTCTCTCATAAATGTCCGATGAGCCACAACTTTTCTTTAAAAACAAAGCTGCCAACTGGGGTGGCAGCTGGGCCTATTTTTAGGGTGTCAGTTGCCACCCCGGTAGGTGAAACTAGGCTACTAGCTACAGTACAGATGGAACTAGATGAGCTGTTAACTCTCGCTCTGAATTTTTTTTTTTTAATTCTCGCTCTGACTTAGACAGGTTGAAAGAGACACACACATTTTTCCCACCCGCATTCCGCGAAGACCCGCCCTACTGTGCCTCTGATTCGCAGATTGTTTGGGGGAAAAAAAACGCTGACTGGATGCTGAATGTGATTGGACCAAAGCGTTGACACACACAGGTGGAACACAGTGGAACAGTCAGACATGCAGAGCGCTGTTTGCAGTGGACATAGCGGATAATTTTGACTCGTTGCGAATGCGTTGTGGCGATGTCTCACATATAATACAGAAAGATAATACATATGAAAAGTATCATTTGCTCAGAGTCCGGAGACAGTGGTGGTTCGGTCCGGATCCGGACCGGAGTCCGTAGTTTGAGGATGCCTGCCTTAACCCGTGACCTTTCATTCAGAGGTCAAGGGATAGGAGATAGGGTTAGAATTTAGGAGCTGATTTTTGGATTATCGGAACGCAACCCAAGTCTATGGTTGAACCGTTGAACCTCAACGCTCATAATCCCCATGGATGTATAACAAGAACCATATTACCCCTCCTGTACCCGGGCCCGCTGACACGATGGAATCAAGAGAGCTCAGACCCTCACTTATATAGAGGTCGGAACATGTCATAAGTATAAAAGATACAAGCATAAATAAATGTAGGAATAAAAACATAAATAAAAACATGAATAAATACAGGAATAAATATGTTGCAGTGTTTTCAGGGAGCTTTAGTGTGTGTGCTGTGGCTCAGCTGGAAAGCAGTTGACTCCTGACCGCAGGGTCCCTGGTTCAAAGACTGGACAATACGTATATTGTTGTTGTTTATAAAAGCTACAGCTAAATGAGATAATGTAGTTAATAAATGTAGTCTTTGATATGTTGTAGCCTTTCTCCGGCTACAACATGGTTACGTTTATGAATATTATTAAGGAATACAAATCCCTCTTTGCAATGTGTACCAGCCTCCTTAGGCTTTTCAATCACAATCATTCAACTGGAATAAATACAATATTGTTAACATGAAAATATGATTTAATGTTCGTTGTTTAGAGTTATGCTTTACTCAATGGGGACTCGGTATGAGATACAGCACACTGTTGAGATGTCCAGTCTGCCTGTTTTACACACTTTGACCAGCAGGGACAAATGTCTGAGGTCCAGCAAGCCCCGAAGTATCTTGGAGTGCGTCTGGATCGGACATTATCCTTTAAAAAACACTTGGAAGAAGTCAAGGCCAAGGTAACATCCAGAGTCGCGCTGATCCGCCGCCTCGCTGGAACAACCTGGGGAGCCTCCGCTAAGACACTGCGAATATCCACTCAAGCCCTGGTCTTCTCTGTAGCGGAATACTGCGCCCCAGTCTGGAGCAGAAGCCCTCATGCGAGAAAGGTCGACGTGGCTATCAATACCTCCCTCCGAATAATAACTGGATGCTTAAAGCCTACCCCTGTGTCCCTCTTGCCAGTCCTCGCGGGAATAGCACCGGCCGGCCTCCGACGGGAGGCTGCCACCCTCGCCCTGGCCAGGAAGGCACAAAAGTATGACTGGCACATCCTGCACAACACCACAATAACACCAGCACCTCCAAGCAGACTCAAGTCCCGCCACCCCTACAACAAAGCAGCTCAAGAGATGCTCAACTCCACCTCTGAGGATATCTCCAGAGATGCATGGTTGGCAGCAGCTTGGAAGCAGGAGTGGGATTCAGCCGGGCCCTCCCGAATCCACCGTTACATCTGGGACCCAGGAGATGGCGCCATTGGAGGAGACAACCTACCGCGCCGGCAGTGGACCACTCTGAACCGTCTACGAACTGCGAGTGCGGTGACCCTGAGCAGACCGCTGTCCATATAATCACTATCTGCCCCTTATATAGACCACCCTCGGAAGCCGGCCTCTTCGACCTAGGACCAGAGATGCGGGCATGGCTACACGACACCGAGTTGGACCTCTAACGTTACACGAAAGAAGAAGGGGGGTTGTGTTCAGATGAAGCCCATGATGAAGCCTAATGAGATGAAGCCCATGATGAAGCCTAATGAGATGAAGCCCATGATGAAGCCTCATGAGATGAAGCCCATGATGAAGCCTCATGAGATGAAGCCCATGATGAAGCCTCATGAGATGAAGCCCATGATGAAGCCTCATGAGATGAAGCCCATGATGAAGCCTAATGAGATGAAGCCCATGATGAAGCCTAATGAGATGAAGCCCATGATGAAGCCTAATGAGATGAAGCCCATGATGAAGCCTAATGAGATGAAGCCCATGATGAAGCCTCATGAGATGAAGCCCATGATGAAGCCTCATGAGATGAAGCCCATGATGAAGCCTCATGAGATGAAGCCCATGATGAAGCCTCATGAGATGAAGCCCATGATGAAGCCTCATGAGATGAACCCTTTTGCGAACCAATTGGCTGGAAAGCTTCATAAGGCTTCATCTCGCCATCACTAGCTATCAGCAGCAGAGCAAGCACACAGGAAGCACACAGGATAGCCCGGAAGTGACAACACGCAATAATGAGGGTCCGTGTAGAAACTCATTAGTCTGGATATAGATATATTGTATTTTATAACAACATTTTAACATACAGAGAAACTTTATTTAAACATGTTGGAGTACAGAGAAACTTTATTTAAACATGTTGGAGTACAGATAAACTTTATTTAAACATGTTGGAGTACAGATAAACTGTATTTAAACATGTTGGAGTACAGAGAAACTTTATTTAAACTTGTCAGATTACAGAGAAACGGCAGACCTCATAATAATTACATTTTTTTATTTATATTTGTTAAATATCTGACAAAACTCAGCCTGTATTTCAGATTTCATCCAAATTGAAGTTACAATAGCTTCAATATTCAGTCCGGAATATTTACTTATTTACTAGTCAATAAATCACAGGTAACTCTAGACAATTTATTCATGTTTAAAATAGTATATATATGTATAAATATTACATTCAGGTACACATATTAGCAGGTAACTAGTGGCATATTAGCATTTACATTAGCAACATCTGTAAGAGTTGTTACCAAACACTTAACAATGCGTGAAATCTTCTATAACCTTTTAACTAAACGTACACTTCTAACCCTCGTAGGGTTTCTTAATAAGAACAGTTTGTCTCTCCTGAAGGACACTTCCACATGTTGACCACCGGGGCTGGGAATCGAACCAGTGACTCTGCCATTGTTAGGCAACTACTATGAGTCACTGCCCCCCCCCACTACCATCTTCTAAAACCAGTCTAAGCTTTAATTTTGTGTTCGAGAACTTCCTATCTTACTGTGAATAATCTGGAAGTTTGTGGAGGGGAAATGAAACCGTGCCATTGGTCGTGCAGAATGAGGGGAAAGCTGCTAATAAACACGCTAATAAGCCAATGGGTACAAGTGAATACATGTACCTTAATATGAAGTATTCTGGATGAAACTGAATCCTAAAGGACAGATTAAGCATCGTCTAAGTGTTTTCTGTTATGTTGATGTGAGATTAAAACTCATTTACGACCTTTTAAACTAACTTTGCAATCGCTCCGTTTCTGAACGTGAACGAGCAAACGAGCATCAGTCGAGGCAGGAAGGGATCGCCATCAGGGGCGGAGACGGAGGGCTGTGATTGGTCGAGGGGGGGGCGGGGGCGGTGGTTCTTTATTGTGGATCTGAGACCTCAGGGTGGCGTTTAGCAGTCCATGCCGTTGTCGGTGGAGTCGCCGGGCTCCGGGTCCTCGGGAGCGTTGGGGCTCAGGTACTCGAAGGCCTTCTGGCTCTGAGCCACAAACTGTTTGAGCGGCGCCAGCAGCAGCTCGGTTGCCGACGGGCGCCGCAGTTTCCCGCCGTCGGAAGGGATCGGCGGCGGCTGGACATCGAGCTCCGGTGGCGGCAGGTCCATCAGGCTGGACCGGCGCCGGACGCCGGGCGGCGGCAGGTCCCTCAGGCTGGACCGGCGCCGGACGCTGGGCGGGTCGGCGCTCTGAGGGCTCAGAGGGCTCCTGCCGCTGCGGGAGTAAAGACTCTGGCGGCGGCGAGGACGTCCGTCCATCGCCTTCAGGAAGAGACTGTCCGCAGAGTTAGGGCCAGACGGAACGTCGCCCGAAAAGTCCTCCTGGTTCAGGAAGTCCTCGACCTCCTGAGCAGACGGCTGCTGGAGCTGAGAACACACAAGATTTACACTTAAAGAGACTTAAAGAGACACATGAGCCTAGCTCAGCACTGTGACGGAAAACTTCTGGATCAATGGAGACTCAGAGAGACACAGAGAGAGCTGGAACTCTGATGGAAACACTGAGGGTCTATTTGGAGCTTCGGCGGGAGAATTCACAAGAGATGTGCTGTGTTTCTGAAGATCTCTAACCCAGACCCATGTGTTCAGCTCTGAGAGGACAATCAACATGCTGCATATGAAGCACTGTGACCTCTATCAGCTGACCCAACAGGAGCAGGGAGACACTGAGAGCAGCCCAAGGTGCAGCTGCTCAGTGAGGACAGACTGATACACTGGGTCAGAGGAAGGACGCAGGACAATAGTTCCCTAACAAGCAAAACCATCAATCTCCTAAAGGGTCCAGGTGTTTGTCAGGTGACTTCTTGAGTGTCAGGTGACTTCTTGAGTGTCAGGTGACTCACCATGGTGTAGAGCGGCGTGGCGTTGATGACGAGCTGCAGCAGGATCTTGGCTAACTCCTGCAGGTCTCCCAGGAGCTGCTGGATCTGGACCGGCAGCTCTGAGATCTGACGGACCGGACGCAGCTCGGCCAGCATGGCGGTCCGACCTTTGACCTCGCTGATCATCCGCTCTCGGACGTTCTCCGTCCGGTAAACCAGAGCCACCAGGAGGCGCTGTAGGACCAGCAGCAGCTCTCCACTCAGATCCAGAACTAAACCCAGACCCACCTGCAGGAGAGGAGAACCACTTCGTCGTTATTGGTGAACTACAGCACAGTCACATAACTTCACGTCACCACCGCTAAGCTAAAGGAGGCTAATGTTGGGCTATAAAGGAACTACAGCACGGTCACATAACTTCACGTCACCACCGCTAAGCTACAGGCGGCTAATGTTGGGCTATAAAGGAACTACAGCACGGTCGCATGACTTCACGTCACCACCGCTAAGCTAAAGGAGGCTAATGTTGGGCTATAAAGGAACTACAGCACGGTCGCATGACTTCACGTCACAACCGCTAAGCTAAAGGAGGCTAATGTTGGGCTATAAAGGAACTACAGCACGGTCACATGACTTCACGTCACCACTGCTAAGCTAAAGGAGGCTAATGTTGGCCTATAAAGGAACTACAGCACAGTCACATGACTTCACGTCACCACTGCTAAGCTAAAGGAGGCTAATGTTGGGCTATAAAGGAACTACAGCACGGTCACATGACTTCACGTCACCACCGCTAAGCTAAAGGAGGCTAATGTTGGGCTATAAAGGAACTACAGCACGGTCACATGACTTCACGTCACCACTGCTAAGCTAAAGGAGGCTAATGTTGGGCTATAAAGGAACTACAGCACAGTCACATGACTTCACGTCACCACCGCTAAGCTAAAGGAGGCTAATGTTGGGCTATAAAGGAACTACAGCACGGTCACATGACTTCACGTCACCACCGCTAAGCTAAAGGCGGCTAACTTCTTCCTCTGACAGCAGCGGTTCAGTCTCACCTGGTTGGCGGCGCCCCCTAGAGTCAGGGCAGCTCTCTGCAGCATGTCCCGGACCTTCATCATGCGGTGGTACAGCTGCAGGCCGAGGTTCAGCAGCAGACTGCGGACCCTCGTCCACAAGCTGGGCTCACCATCATCCTCCTCTTCATCCTCCAGCTCCTGCACCCTCAGCTCCCACTCCCGACCTGACAAACAAACACTCATTTAATGCATTAGAAAGAGAGTCAAATGTGGAAGTCTACACTTTTTACTTAATCTGCACTCTTGTTGGTATAAAACAATTAAATCTAATGTGTAATATTCCATTCCTGACATTATGTATAAACAATATCCTGCTTTATATTTTGTTACTATACATTTTAAATTCAACATGTAGATTTTCTAGTTGTTTTTTTATAATGCTATTCTATTTCTATTGAGATGTTTACATTTTGGATTGTTTATTTCTAGTCTTTCAACTTTTAAAGTTCAATGCCTTGTCTTTTTATGCTGCTGCAACACAAACATTTCCAAATTGGGATCAATAAAGTACTTCTTATCTTATCTTAGACCCAACATTTCTCCGTTGCGGGACAAATAAAGGAATTCTGATTCAGAAATAGAAAATGAAACTCCAATTCGACCCCAGTTTCCCAGAATGCCCCTGTACTCACGCAGGGTGGGGGGGAGGGGCAGGTAGTGGGCGGCGGCATCCTCCAGGCGGGTCAGCAGGTCGTCCAGCCCAAAGGAAGCCACCTGGCCCACCTGAGAGTCCTGAAGCTGCCTCACCACCGCCACAGCGCCTTCAGACAGACGCTCCATCTGATCCAGAGCCACGTCCAGACCGTCCCCCACCCACAGCTGCACGTCGTCCAGCGTCAGGAAGAAGGCGTCCTTCAGGTGACCCACCACCTGAGGACAGAGCACCTGCTTAACAACACCTGGTGGACTGGTTATTACACAGAACCTGGTCTAAAGCACCTGCTTAACAACACCTGGTGGACTGGTTATTACACAGAACCTGGTCTAAAGCACCTGGTTAACAACACCTGGTGGACTGGTTATTACACAGAACCTGGTCTAAAGCACCTGCTTAACAACACCTGGTGGACTGGTTATTACACAGAACCTGGTCTAAAGCACCTGCTTAACAACACCTGGTGGACTGGTTATTACACAGAACCTGGTCTAAAGCACCTGCTTAACAACACCGTGGTGGACTGGTTATTACACAGAACCTGGTCTAAAGCACCTGCTTAACAACACCTGGTGGACTGGTTATTACACAGAACCTGGTCTAAAGCACCTGCTTAACAACACCTGGTGGACTGGTTATTACACAGAACCTGGTATAAAGCACCTGCTTAACAACACCTGCTTAACAACACCTGGTGGACTGGTTATTACACAGAACCTGGTCTAAAGCACCTGCTTAACAACACCTGGTGGACTGGTTATTACACAGAACCTGGTATAAAGCACCTGCCTTAACAACACCTGCTTAACAACACCTGGTGGACTGGTTATTACACAGAACCTGGTCTAAGCACCTGCTTAACAACACCTGGTGGACTGGTTATTACACAGAACCTGGTCTAAAGCACCTGCTTAACAACACCTGGTGGACTGGTTATTACACAGAACCTGGTCTAAAGCACCTGCTTAACAACACCTGGCCATTAACTACAGGTCAACAACACCCCGTCAACAACACCCGGCTAGTTACACCTGGTAGACGGCACTTATATAATAAAACTGAAACTGGAAGAGTTTTTTTATTCAGGGAAAGGTTTTAATTAACTTCTAAATTCTTGGTGAGAAAATGTTCCGTCCGTCTCTGCTCTGCAGTAATACAGATACAGGACGCGTCTGAAAGTGATGCAGAACAAACCTCGTCTGTTGATTGGTTCAGGATCGGGAAGTTCTTCTCCAGAGAGTCGAGACCAAAGAGAGCAAAACTCTCAGCAACTTCGACTGCAGAGAACCAGAGGGTCACAACACCAGCAGAATCAGGTTTAGCAGCGACAGAGAGTTTATCATTAACGCACTTTAAATAACTTGTATCTAAGAAAACGCATTTTATTATTAGCATTGGTATTAGATGCAGTTGTATAGAGAGAGCCACAGTGACGCGTCCTAAAACCCGGAAGTAAACTCCTTCCGGTTCCTTCGACAAAAAGCAATGAGATTTCTCCATGGGATTTTGGAAAATAGCTGGAAATCAGGTCTGTGGTTGAAACACACTTAAGAGACGGATCACGTTTAGTTCAGCCGGATAATCTCCTCATGTCTACCCTAATAATCTATCGATTAGATTTATGATTAGAACATTGTAAAAGTAGGGTAAACATGTGGAGATTATCCGGCACTCTATTGGCATTAGCATTATCAGCAGCTTTAGCAGTGTTAGCATTAGCAGAGGTCTTGGTGAGTAACGGATTACATGTAACGAGATACAAAACCTGGATTACATGTAACGAGATACAAAACCTGGATTACATGTAACGAGATACAAAACCTGGATTACATGTTTTGAAATGTAATCAGTTGTAACAGATTATATTTTAAAAGTAACCCTCCCAACCTCGTCTGGAGCATTAGCAATAGCAGTAGCTTTAGCATTAGCATTTATTTAGCGTACTCTGCAGCTCCAGGCTCTGAAGGAGGGGCGTTGCCGTCGTCATGGCGACGTTGGAGACGCTGCGGACCCCGACCTCGGCGACCCCCCCCACCAGGTTCAGTAGGGGGTAACGACCTTTGACCTCCGAGTACACAGAGTTCACGGACTGCAGCGCAGAGCGGACCAGAGGCAGGCTGGAGACACGCAGCACCAAACTCTGAAACACAACGTGATGCAAAGAGACACAACGTGACTTCAAAGAGACACAACGTGACTTCAAAGACACACAACATGACTTCAAAGAGACACAACATGACTTCAAAGAGACACAACATGACTTCAAAGAGACACAACATGACTTCAAAGAGACACAACATGACTTCAAAGAGACACAACATGACTTCAAAGAGACACAACATGACTTCAAAGACACACAACGTGACTTCAAAGAGACACAACGTGACTTCAAAGACACACAACATGACTTCAAAGACACACAACGTGACTTCAAAGACACACAACGTGACTTCAAAGACACACAACGTGACTTCAAAGAGACACAACATGACTTCAAAGAGAAGTCTCCATGATAGCTGTAACTCAGTCAGCAACATGTACTCCTGGATGT